AGTATAAGAGCTTCCAGATAGCACAATAAGTGAACATATAAAACAATTTCTGTCAAATAAATCACAGGTCCCTGTTGTTTAGCATTATGACCTAAAAGCTTAATTTAAAAAAAATTTGTTGGTCTCAAGTAAAACATTACTTGCTTCAGAAATATGCTCAGTACTCTTTTAGTCAGGAAAGCAATGTGGAAATATGTCACTCCTGCAAAGGAATGGGCATGTGCCTGAAGCCCAAAACCCAACAAGGATGGTCTCACTGTCAGATACTGTGCCTGTCCACCATGTAGATGTCCCCAGAAAGCTGTAAAGGAGCCGACAGAATTCCAGGCTTAAGACAGTGTGTGGGGGCTGGTGCTGTGGCGTAGTGGGTAAAGCCGCCCAGTGCCAGCATCCCGCGAGTGCCAGTTAGAGATCAGACTACTCCACGTCCTATCCAACTCTCTGCTTTGGCCTGGGAAAGCAGTGAAAGATGACCCAGGTGCTTGGGCCCCTGTACCCATGTGAGAAATCCAGAAGCTGCTGCTGGCTTCAGACTGGCCCAGCTGTGGCTGTTGCAGCCATTTGGGGAGTGAATCAGCATATGGAAGATCTCTCTCTCTCGCTCGCTCTCTCCCTCCCTCCCTCGATGTAACTCTGCCTTTCAAGTAAGTAAATAAATCTTTAAAACAAACATACACAAACAGTGTGTGGAGGATGAGGAGTGTGAATTGTGACTAAAGTAAACCAGCACTGTCCAACAAAGGAGCTTTCTGTGATGATGGAAAGAAACATCGCTATCCGCACTGCCCAGTAAGAGAGCCACTAGCCTTACATGACATGGTGAATGTGACTGTATAATCCTTGCTACCACCCTGTTATGAAGCTGTGCTCTCCATTTAAATACTAGAAACCTATACCTGGATGTGAAGGTCACAGCTTAGGTGGCTCCCAGGTATCCCACCTCCCATTATCATTTCATGTATTCAGAATGAAAAATGAAGTTGTTCAGGCTCACATGGGTTTTTAAGCAAATTTGGCTGTGAGGAGTAGGACAAAAGAAACCTCACATTCACTGCATTCCTGTTGCTGTTAGTCCTTCTTGGATTCTGAACCTCTTCACGACTCTGATTAAAGCCATGGGCCCTCTCCCTGGAGAAATGCCTGTGGTGCTACATACGATGGGGTCATCAAATAGTTCACATAAAATGCATATGATGGGGAAAAACTATACATGGACTTCAAAAGTGTTTTGTGAGAGTTGTCTGTGTGGCAAAACAGGTTAAGTCACAGTTTGGGACATTAAATACCAGACTGCCTGTTTTGAGTCTTGGCTTCTGCATTTCAGGTCCAGCTCCCTGCTAATGTGCCTGGGAAAGCAGGAGAGGACAGGCCAAGTACTTATATCCCTGCTGTCTACAGCTGCACCACCCTGATTGCACTTGATCTTGGATCCCTACCAACCATGTAATAGACTGGGATGAAGTTTTGGGCTCCTGACTTTGGCCAGGGCTGGGCCAGGCCATTTGGGAGTGAACCAGAGGATGGAAAACAGCTCACTCGCTTGCTCAATCACTCTGCTTTTCAAATAAGTAAATATAAATTCCCACCCCCCCCCCCAAAAAAAAACTGCCTTGCAACAAAATAAACATCTTTGAATTCACTTTTTCTATAAACTTTTTGGAATTCTCTATTACTTTTTTTTTCTTTTTTTCCCACAAATCCAGGGACTTGTGAAATCAATGGATCCCATTGAAGGACCTGCTGCTACAGTGTAGGTCACACACCTAGATCAGTTTAGTGACAAAAAGCCTAAATGTTTTATACTCTAATACAATATATTAGTTACCTTCTGTTTTTGGTTAATGTGGCTTGTTTTCTACTTATGGTAATGATATAAGTTTAGCTTTAAAAATACTTACTTAAAAAAATAAAGGTGACTTACGGGCCCGGCACTGCAGCATACTAGGTTAAGCCTCTGCCTGCAGTGCCAGCATCCCATATCGGCACTGGTCCCAGTCCCAGTTGCTCCACTTCCAATCCATCTCCATGCTGATGGCCTGAGAAAGCAGCAGAAGATAGCCCAAGTGTTTGGGCCCCTGCACCCACGTGGGAGACCCAGAGGAAGCTCTTGGCTCCTGGCTTCCAATTAGCCCAGCTCTGGCCATTACAGTCATTTGGGGGAGTGAACCAGCAGATGGAAGATCTCTGTCTTTTCCTCTGTAACTTTGCCTCTCAAATAAATAAATCTCCAAAACATAAATAAATAAATAAATAAATAAAGGTGGCCTAAAGAAAATTATCACATTAGATTACAGAGACATATATATAATAAAATATTGAATAAATAATGATAGAAGTAGTCATTTTAAAACAAAATCCTATTACTTGCTAGATAACTTTAATATCAGTTCATCTCAAACTCCTTTTTTCAAAGTTATAAATAAGAAAAAAGGCAAATTGTCCACTCAGGTAAATGTACTTAGGTAATACAGAGGGTATAGACCAGGAGTGGGGAATGTCTGGCCTACAGCCCACTTAAGGCCTGCAAAATCATTTGATTTGGCCCTGCCAAGGCAACCACAGGAGGAACTTTGGAATTCAATAAACCTATGGTAGGCTAATTTTTAAGTTGATAATTCTGTATGGTCCATGAACAATGTTATAAAAGTCCAAATAGCCTTGACAGAAAAAAGTTCCGCACCCCTGGATTAATGAATATATTTAGGGTCATTTAGACTTGAAACTTATTTAATAATAGCATGTCCTTGGGAAAACTAGTTTCTTAATCTATAAAATGGGGATAAGACTTGGTACCTTAATTCAATGTATATTTATGAAGTACCTACTATGTGCCAGACACTGAATCAGATGCTAAAGACGCAGTGGTGAACAAACCAGGCAGGGACAAATCAATCCATTTATTTTCCGGGGTAGTTGTTTGTCTACCAGTTAAGTCTCGGACTAGGATGTCTGTATCCCACTCTGGAGTGTCTGGTTGGAGACGGAGCTTCAGCTCTTGATTCCAGCTTCCTCCTAATACAAACCCTGGGAGGCAGCAGATGTTGGCATTTCTGACATCCACCTTGGATGCCCAGCTCTGGGATTTGGCCTGGCCCAACCCTGGCTGTTGTGAGCATTTGGGAAGTGAATCAGCAGATGGAAGCTGTCTCTCAAAAATAAATAAATAAATTTTAAAAAAGGCAAGTAAGTATGTGTTGAAGGGACAGATAGATGAGCTAAGTACAGCAGAGAAAATAAGAGTGGCAGAGAGTAACAAAAGGGTGGTGGCAGGGGGCAAGCAGAGATGGGAGTTCAGGGAAGGTGACATGAGCTGACTATGCCAAGAGGGTGGTAAGAGGAAAGGAGCTGCCAGCACAGCTGTTATGAGAACAACTAAGTGAGTGCCAAGTGCTTTAGCTTGGTAGCAAAGAACCACTCAGTAAACAGCTGCTACTCTAATTACAAGGACACACAATTTCAAAGTTATTTTTGCACCAAAATAAACTTATCTTTTAATTCTGCTTTTCATGAATTTTCTGAAGCCCCCCTCCCATCTTCTTTTAAATGGTGTGTGCCTCTGCTCTGGGTAATGGGAATCAATGGTCAAGAGAGAAATGCAGAAATTTAAACAGAAAGCTTCTGTTTACATGGTGCATCTGATAACTCACTCCTGAAGGTTCAAAATACATCACAGGCATCTAAGGGCTGGTTGTTCAAAACCCTTTTGTGACGTCAGGGCACTTCCCCAAACTGACAAACAATGGCAAAGATTCTTTGTGCACTTACTATGTGCCATATGCTGTGCTAAGAACTTCCCATGTATCATCATCAGTTCATTTAATACTCCCAACATGTCTATGATGTGGTTTCCACCTACAGTTACTAAAAACAAAACTGGGCTCCAAACAGCTCCTAAATGACAACGCTAGGACCTAAAGCCAGATCTGATTTCACTGGCAACCCACCAAGACCTTCCATTCTTAAGCAGCCATTATCTCTAAGCCAGAGAAGACAACTCTGGGGCAACCTTTTATCGGTTAGGAAACCTCCTCCAGAGAGAGAAATCCCCAACCAAGAAAAACTCTCACGCAGGAAAGACTCCCTCATCACCCTGGAAACACACCCTGGGATCAACCCTCCCAAGTCCACCTCGAGGGCCTCCCCAGCCCCTCCCACTTAAAGAACCACTGCACTGCCAGGTAGAGATGCCACTCTGGGGGATAATCCATTAATTCAAAAGCAAACTCCTTCCCTTCCAGAAACTCACGGTCAATCCTGAGGATGCCCCACTCCCCAAGTATTTCAGAGCCACGCTGCTTACATGAGGAGGCCAGTGCAAAGTGAACATGTGGGGCCTCTTATTTAAAAGTTGGGAAATTCACGAATAAGACCACTGGGGATTAAACCAGGAGATCCCTCTACTAAGACTGCACGAGTGTTTCACCCACGAAGACAGCCCTGCTTTCCGAGTTCCTCTTTCAGTAAGAGGAGAGAGTACGTGGGGCGCTGTATTTTTTATTTATTTACTTTTCTGGTGAGAAGAAATATCAGTAGCAGTTGAAGGATCAAGAATGCCTCTCCCAGAGATAAGAGGCATTCTGCTGCACAGTTTTAAATACCTCCTAATGCTTTTGGCTTAGAAGTTTTTGGTATTGTAAATGGACATGATTTGTATTCTTTTTATGAACTCATGCCGCTCTGCCCTTCAGTAAGCTGGTACCTGGGACGTCCTGTGTGAATCTGGCAGCACTCTTCACCGTGGCTGGGCCAGATTCCCTACGAACCGCTCCAGCCAGCTGCGTGGTCCTGGAGACCGAGCCCTGCTCCAGCTTCTGGGCTTGTGGCCCGCTGCTGGGGAACCTTTACCCTGAGCAGTGCATTGTGGTTTGCAACAAACTGCAGAAAGGTTTGAGAGAAGCACTGAGTTCATGGACCAATGAGACAATCTTAGGTAGCGTTAGGCCAATAGGGACTTGAATTGGGGACGGAGAAGGCGGGAGCAGGGCGGGGCCTGGGCACTAGGCAGCAGTAGCCTAGCTGGGGCCGCTTAGATGCGCCAGTTTGCAAGTAGCTCAGCAGCTAGGCTGCAAGCTGGGGGCAGGACTGAGCGTCAAGCCTGCCTCAGAAGACTGGTCCAATAGGCCAGCCCCTGCCCCACCGTCTCAGAATCCGGGATGAGGCCCTCACTGCCGGGCTTATCCAACACAGCGTCCTGAGAAGCGGGTTGGGGGCATCGTCCCGGAATGGCGCGGCCCCGGGATGGGGGCACAGCTCACATCCCAACCCCTTGCTCCTCGTGTGGACCTCTCCGTCCCCCCATCCCCCACCCAGCAGGCAACCACGTACGACCGCAAGGCGGTGATCAAGTACGCGGACATGTCGGAAGAGATGCAACAGGACTCGGTGGAGTGCGCCACTCAAGCGCTGGAGAAATACAACATCGAGAAGGACATCGCGGCCCACATCAAGAAGGTGAGGCCGGGGCCGGGGCGCGCCGCCCTCTTGGTCCCTCCGCCCGGGCCCGGCGTCCGCAGAGCGCGGGGCGGCTCGGGAGCAGAGACTTCCAGAAAGGACGCAGACGAATCCTGCGCTCCGGTCGGAACCCCAGACCCTCGGCGCCCGAAGTGTTTGGTTGTGTTTTGTTTTTAAATGGAGCTCGGCGGGGGGGAAGCGCCACCTAGCAACGGTCTCCAGGCTCGGAGAGCCGCGGTCCCCGGCGCCGGGATCTGTCTGGGCGTTCGCTCGGGAGCCGGAGCTGCGGGGGCGTCTGCAGCCTGCAGCCGGGCGGGAGCAGAGCAGAGCGCCAGCCCTCCGCGGGCCCTGGTCGAGCTCTGTTTGCTGTGGGGCAGGAGGCCGGCAGCCTAAGCCCTGGAAGGTTCCCGCAGAGAATGGGAGAACAGAAATCAAACGTGGCAGGGCTGCATGTGGCCTCTAAGAACGTTATTTCCTCAACAGATTTAAGAGGATTTCACACAACATGTGGGTTAAGAACAGCTAGAATCTACATAACTAAATCAAAGTTGCAAGAACTTTATAAAAAGAAAGTTTACCTTCAGCCTTTGCCTACATAGTCGCCTGGTGGCCTCCAGCGTCTCTTGGGCTGAGGGAAGTACTGGAGTTAAGTACGGTTGTTGATCCTGCGTCTTGCTAGCCTTGTGGACAAGACAGGAGGCCAGTACCAGCAGGATGTGTGGGGAAAGTCCATTTTAAATTACAGGTTGGAATAACAGTTTGCCAGCTGGCTGTCAGATTCTGCTTCAAGCATTCTTTTTATAGGGACGGTAGAGTGTTTACGCGTTCCCCTGTATTAAAATTTTAGATGTGCAGCTCTCTGGCTCAGATGCTGACTGGAGCTTTACCCTCCTGGAGGTCTCCTGTACAGCGGTGCAGGAGTGCAGCTCAGATCCCCCCGAGGGGGCCTGCGCTGTGGCACAGCGGGTTAAAGCCCTGGCCTGAAGCAATAGCATCCCATATGGGCGCCAGTTCTAGTCCCAGCTGCTCCACTACCTTCCAGCTCTCTGCTGTGGCCTGGGAAAGCAGAAGATGGCCTAAGTCTTTGGGCCCCTGCACCCGGGTGGGAGACCTAGAAGAAGCTCCTGGCTCCTGGCTTCGGATTGGCTCAGCTCCGGCCATTGAGGCCATCTGGGGAATGAACCAGAGGATGGAAGACCTCTCTCTCTCTACCTCTCTAACTCTTTCAAATAAATAAATAAATCTTAAAAGAGAGAGAGAGAGAGAGAGAGAGAGAGAATCTTCCTGAGGGAGAGGGTACTAGGCCAAATTTTTACCATTTTCTTGGATTTGTGGCACATGACAAATATAGGGGGATAGTTTAGATCTATTCAAACGAAATAGAAAAACTTGTTTAAAATAGTTGTGATAAATTACAACTATTGGTAACACTTGCTGTCCATGAGTAAGAATATTATAGATAGGGGCTGGTTCTATGGCCTGGCGGATAAAGCTGATGCCTGCAGTGCCGGCATCCCATATGGGCACTGGTTCCAGTCTCGGCTACTCCACTTCCAATCCAGCTCTCTGCTGTAGCCTGGGAAAGCAGTAGAAGATGGCCCCTGCGCCCACGTGGGAGACCTAGAAGAAGCTCCTGGCTCCTGCCTTTGGATCTGAACCAGCGCGTGGAAGACTCTCATTCTCTCTCTGCAACTCTGCCTTAAAAAAATCTTTGAATAAGGAACATTAGACATAGCATGGAGATGTAGACTATGAGAACAAAGTGCCCTGTCTGAGGCTGATCTTTCTGCCTTTGACCTCAAGTCCCCTGTTGTAGCTCAGCCTGCAAGTATGTTTGCATTAATTCACTATGTAGGCGCCTGACTTGGGAGCTGAAGAACATTCTTTCATTCTAAGAATTTGAAGATATTAATATTCCTTCTTTGCCCTTACAGCTTCTGTTTTATCCAGAAGGCAACTCTGCTCTCTGGTTTAGAACTGAAATTCTAGTGTTTCCTTTATTTCCCCTTCTTTTTCTTTCCCAGAAGTCTGACAGAAATAAAACTTCACCTGACACTGCATTATGGAGGAACTTGGTAGTGACAATGCAGTTGGCTTTGTTAACACTGCAGAAAAAGTGCCTCCAGACAACACGGGGAAATGTGTGCCAGCTTACGGAAGGGCAGAGCGGCATGAGTTCATAAAAAGAATACAAATCATGTCCATTTACAATACCAAAAACTTCTAAGCCAAAAGCATTAGGAGGTATTTAAAACTGTGCAGCAGAATGCCTCTTATCTCTGGGAGAGGCATTCTTGATCCTTCAACTGCTACTGATATTTCTTCTCACCAGAAAAGTAAATAAATAAAACATACAGTGTAGACTTTTAAGTCAACATCCAGCATCATCCCAGCCAGACTGAAGTCCTGCAGCTCGCTGCTGCTGTTTAACAGCTGGCCCAGGTGCTCTGCTGTCGCTGCTACTGTGCTGCTCTTAGTCACCCCAGACACGTTCATTTTTTACTCTGCATCATTATCTTTTACTAGCTAAGTATCTATGTGTGAATGAATGTATTAAAATGATTGCCTTTTAGGAGCCGGCACTGTGATGTAGCGGGTAAAGCTGTTGTCTGCAGTACCAACATCCCATATGGGCTCCTGTTTGAGTCCCGGCTGCTCCACTTCTGATCCAGCTCTCTGTTATGGCCTGGGAAAGCAGTACAAGATGGCCCAAGTGCTTAGACCCCTGCCTTGGTGTGGGAGACTCAGAGGAAGCTTCTGGCTCCTGGCTTTTGGACTGATCCTGCTCCAGCCATTGCAGCCATTTGGGGAGTGAACCAGTGGATGGAAGACTTTATCTGTTTCTCTCTCTGCTTCTATGTAACTCTGCCTTTCAAATAAATAAATAAACCTTAAAAAAAAAAACCGCTATTTAATATGTAGAAACATGAGCATGAATACACTAGGAAATACTATGGGCTGACGCCGCGGCTCACTAGGCTAATCCTCTGCCTTGTGGCGCCGGCACACCGGGTTCTAGTCCTGGTCGGGGTGCCGGATTCTGACCCGGTTGCCCCTCTTCCAGGCCAGCTCTCTGCTGTGGCCAGGGAGCGCAGTGGAGGATGGCCTAAGTGCTTGGGCCCTGCACCCCATGGGAGACCAGGAGAAGCCCCTGGCTCCTGCCATCGGATCAGCACTGTGCGCCGGCCACGGCGGCCATTGGAAGGTGAACCAAGGGCAAAAGGAAGACCTTTCTCTCTGTCTCTGTCTCTCACTGTCCTCTACACCTGTCCCAAGAAAAAAAAAAAAAAAAAACTATGAACATAAGATGCCTGTACTATATGAAGAAAAATCACGAGGAACTTGACAACTAAAGTGTAGACTGAACCAGGTATGCTGAATGGTGATTGGAAAACACCAGAGGAATACTGTTGTAGATAAAATTTTCCAATATTTTCCCATATGTGAAACTCAGCAGAGCTCACAAAAAGGAATCGCTAACATACACAGCAATTGCATTCATAGAAAAAAAAATTTATCATGTAAACACTGCTTTGTATTTATATATAAAATTAGGTATGCAATTAAAGGAACTTCAAGCACTGTGTGAGAGTTATTCATTGTACAGCACTGTTAAGCACACTGCAAAACATCTAGCAAAGCTAACTCCTACCTTCATTAAATGTATGTGCCAATTTACACTATGGCAGCAACTAAAAATGCTGTCACAAATTTCAAAAATGCCTCCCAGAAGATGGTTTTACACTGAGAACTACTGAACAACTGAGCTAAGTGGATTTGGGGAGGATGTCTTTAAAAAGTGAGTGGAAAATTCATTTTATGTGGGAAAACTGCATGCAATTCAAATGTATTTGCAGAAAAATTATCTTTTAATTTCATTTTTCCCACAAACTTTTTGAAATGTTCTTCTATATGACTATATAGCTAGGTAAGATATTTTAAAGCCATTTGCAGGCTACTTAATGCATCTACTTTTAAGTTAGTATTTTTGGTAGTATACAATATTACTTTATAATTGCAATTCTTCATACTGTATCAACATAGTAGAGCTATGGAAACAGAAAATAAGACATCTAAGCATACTATAAAAGTATGTAATCTGAGGCAGGCATTGTGGCACAATGGTTAAGCTGCTGCTTGGGATGCCCACACGTCATACTTGTGTGCCAGTTGGCATCCTGACCACTCTGCTTCCAATCCAGCTGCCTGTTAATGCATCCTGGGAGGCAATGGAAAATGGGGCCCCTACCACCCACGTGAGAAACATGGATGGGTGGGTTTCAGGCTCATGGCTTCCATCTGGCTCAGCTTTGGCTGTGGAGGGCATTTGAGGAGTGAACTAGTAGAATGAAGATCAATTGACTGATCGCTCTCCCTTTCTCTGCCTTTCAGGTAGATAAAAATTAATAAAACATATATTTTGTCTGTGTGTGTGTATGCGTAAAAATAAATTTAAGGTGACAAGTACAAAAAACAAAAAATTGTAATGCAATGATTTCAAATACACAGGCAGGAATTTAAAAATAGGAATATCTGAGAGTTGGATTTTACTGAACTAGCAAACTACACACCACTAACATGTTGAACAAAAATGTTAACTGACTACTCTAAAAAATATTTAGGGATTCTAAAACAGGCAATAAAAAGATACATGTTATGGAACTTGGGAAAAAAACCATACACAGGAGCGGGCATTTAGAAAACACTTTCATCCCCCATATGAGGACCTCCACGTGATTTCAGTATAAATATGATTCACATGAATATGATGAGGAAAAAAGAGAAACAGGAGATTTAACAAAAAGGACCCAAACAAGGCTTGCAGAAATCCAATCAGTATGGTGTCTAAGTGAAAAATACATCAGATAGGAATAACAGCAGATGAGACTTTATGGAAGGAAAGATCACTGACCTTGAAGACACAGCAAGAGAAACCATCCACAGTGAAAGTCTGAAAATTCCAAACAAGAATTCCACCACCTCAGCTACTTGTAGAAATTATCAATTGATTTAACACAGTGAACCAGGGTACAGGAAAGGTAAAATATATAGACGAAATAATGGTGGACAAGTTAAAGGTTTAATGAAAAGTATAAATTTATATATCCAAGCAATTCAATAAGCTCCAAGTAGAAGCAACATAATACTATACCAAAGTGCATCAAACTGCAAAAAAAACAAAAACAAAAAAACATAAACAAACAAACAAAAAACCCACCTGGAAACAGAAAAGCTGCAAGCATCCAGAGGTAAAAAGCCACATTATTTACAGAACAAAGATAAAAATGAAAGCAGATTTCTCATTAGAAATCATGCAGCACAGAAGCAAACAAATGCTGAAGAAAAAAAACTGTCAATGTAAAATTCTATACACAGTGATAGTTCTCAATAGGACAAAACACTTTTTAAGACATAAATGCTAAGATAAATACATTATCAGCACACTCCTACTTACAACAAATGTTAAAGAAAGTTCTTAACGCCAAAGAAAAATAATGCCAGATGGAAAACTGATCTACAAAAAGAGAAAGAAATGGTAAATAAAAGAATGAATAGAAAAGACAAGTCTAAAACGAAAATAATGCACTGTGTTATTTATAGCACACCAAGAATTAAAAATGCCCAACAACATTAGCACAGTCTGACAACAGGAGAATGCAGATTCTGTTTTCCAAAGACTGATTCCTATCCCAACCCTGCCTCCCTGCTTCCAATGTGACAACAATATTCCTCCAAGACATGTGTGGATGTGCATGTGTGTTGGGGATTGGAAGATGTTTCTTTGCCTTGAATCTGGCCAGGCATTTCTAACTACCTCCACCTAAAATAAAATATAAAAATAAATAAATAAAAAGGAGAAGTGATGTTGGTCAAGGCTAGTTCACAAAAAGCAGTATTGCTTCTACTTGGCGACTTCTGTGGGACTTGCTTTTGGAACCCAACCACCAAACTGGTCAAAAAGGTAGGCTCTATAAGCAGACCAGATGCCCAAGTTCTGACCAACAGATTAAGCTAAACTTCCAACCTGCATCAATTGCTTGACATATAATTTGGCACATGCATTCATCCAGTGAATGCAGCATTCACAGAACTGATGAGAGAAACAGAACAGAGCTAGGGGCCCGCGCTGTGGCGTAACTGGTAAAGCTGCCGCCTGCAGTGCCAGCATTCCATATGGGCACCGGTTCAAGTCCTGGCTGCTCCACTTCCCATCCAGCTCTCTGTTATGGCCTGGGAAAGCAGTACAAGATGGTCCAAGTGCTTGAGTCCCTGCACCTGTGTGGGAGACCAGGAAGAAGCTCCTGGCTCCTGGCTTCGGACTGGTGATGAAAAAAAAAATAAATTAGAACAAACAGAGCTAAAAGCTTCAACAAATCTTTCTCAGTAACTGAAAGAACAGAACCCCTCCTCCAAAATTCCCAAAGGGACTATAAGAGGGGTGTGTGTGTGTGCGTGTGTGTGTGAATTGATATTACAATTTACATAACATTTCTTACAACAGCAAGCTATACATTCTTCTCATGTGTACCTAAAACATTTACTAACTTTATTATGAGGAAGCTTCAAAAATCTCATGGAAGGGCCAGAGCTGTGGTGTAGTAGGCTAAGCCTCCACCTGCAGCGCTGGCATCCCATATGGGTACCAGTTCAAGTCCCAGCTGTTTCACTTCTGATCCAGCTCTCTGCTAATGGCCTGGGAAAGCAGTGGAAGACAGCCGGAGTGTTTGGGCTCCTGCACCCATGTGGGAGACCCAGAAGAAGCTCTTGGCTCCTGGTTTCGGACTGGCACAGCTCCAGCTGTTGCAGCCATCTACGAAGTGAACCAGCGGATGGAAGACCCCCCTCTCTCTCTCCCTCTCTCCCCCCTTCCCTCCTTCTCTCTGTAACTCTGCCTCTCAAATTAATAAATCTTTTTAAAATTTTCATGGAAAAATGGGATGAAAATATATTGTGCATTTACTTTCTGAAGCACTCTTTACTTATACTGCTTAAAGAAAGATTTCAAACCAATGATCTAAACGTCCACATTGAGAAACTAGAAAAAGAAAAGCAAATTAAATGCAAAAAAGAAGGAAGACAACAAAAAAAGAATAAAAATGAAACCAGACATTCATGAAAATAGAAACAAAAAAGCAGTAGAACTAAAAGCACTAATTGAAAAGAAAAGAAAGACAATTAACAAACGTTAGCTAAACTGATCAGAAAAAAGGGAGAGGACATAAATTATCAGCATCAGGAATAAAGGAGAAGAGCATCACAACAGAGTGTTATAAAAACAAACATTTAAATGGGAGTAATATTATGAAACAATTATGCCAACAAATTGGACTAAAACTAAAAGAAATACAAAGACATAAACTACCAATTTCAACAAAAACTGTGATAAAGATGCATATTATAAGCCCTGAATCAACCTCCAGAAGAAATACACAGCCTAAATATGCCAATTTCTGGTAGCAACATTGAATTTGTAGTTTAAAATCTTCCCTGGTGCCGGCACTGTGGTACAGCAGGTAAAGCTACCGCCTGCAGTGCTGACATCCCATATGGGTGCCGGTTCAAGACCAGGCTGCTCCACTTTCAATCCAGCTCTCTGCTATGGCCTGGGAAAGCAGTAGAAGATGGCCCAAGTCCTTGGGTCCCTGCACCTGCATGGGAAGACCCAAAGGAGGCTCCTGGCTCCTGGCTCCTGATCAGCGCAGCTTTAGCCATTGAGGCCATTTGGGGAGTGAACTGTCAAAAATTAAAAAAAAAAAAAGACTAAAATTCACCTCTAACTTACCACTAAAAGAATACCATTAGCAACAGTACATATCCTTTAAGTTTGTAGATGTATTTGGATATGTGTGGCTGTATCCTTTTCTTTTCTTTTCTTTTTTTTCTTTTTATTTGACAGGTAGAGTTATAGCCAGTGAGAGCGAGAGACAGAAAGAAAGGTCTTCCTTCCGTTGGTTCACTCCCCTAATGGCCGCCATGGCCGGCGCTGTGCCAATCCGAAGCCAGGGGCTTCTTCCTGGTCTCCCATGCGGGTCCTGGGGCCCAAGCACCTGGGCCATCCTCCACTGCCCTCCGGGGCCACAGCAGAGAGCTGGACTGCAAGAGGAGCAACCAGGAGTACAACTCGGAGCCCATATGGGATGCCGGCGCTGCAGGCGGAGGATTAACTAAGTGAGCCACAGCGCCGACCCTGGGTGTATCCTTTTCAACACACAGTTAGGATCACAGTATAAATTGTTCATATCCAGAATTTTTCACTTAT